TGATCATCCTCACTGGATGCCACAGAGGCAAGAGAGTGGTTTTCCTGAAGCAGCTGAGCAGTGGCTTGCTACTTGTGACTGGACTGCTGGTTCTCAATTGAGTTCCACTGTGTAGAACACACCAGAAATTTTGCATTGCCACCTCCACGAAAACTGATTAGCAAAGTAAAAATCCCAAAGCACCTTACTGATGCTTACTTCAAGAAAAAGAAATTGCGGGAACCCAGACACCAGGAAGGTGAGATCTTTGACACAGAGAAGGAGAAAGACGAGATTTCAGAGCAGCACAAGACTGATCAGAAAACTGGACTCACAAATTTTACCAAAAATAAAACCTGTTCCTCAGCTCCAGGGCTACCTGCGATCCATGTTTGCCCTTACAAATGGAGTTTATCCTCACAAATTGGTGTTCTAAATTTTTTGCCAAGAACCTAATTAAATAACTGATTATATATATATATATTTTAAAAAAAGCACTAAGGGGAAAAAAAGAGATACATATAAAGTGTCAGTAATTAGAAATAGCACTTCATGCAAAATATACAAATTTACTACTAGTGAAGGGTGTAACTTCTGGATCTGTTTTAATAATTTTCTAGGGATAGTGACGTAAGAAAATGGAATGAGTACATTTAAAAGTTACAATACTTTTTTTTTTTACTATTTTTACATAATCTCATTCTGATTTTCAACTATGGTAAACAAATGACAATGAAATTTCTTTTCTGATCCACATTACCAGAGTAAATGTATAGACTAAGTAATTTATCTATCCCCATTTGCAGGAAATAAACTGTTTGCTTTAACCACCATGCCACCTACTGGCCCCATATGTCAAAATATTCTTACCAATCATTAATACAAATGATGTTCACAAAATTATTATAAAGTTTTTCACTGTTCTCAATTATACACCAACTTCAAATATTTTTGTTCTGTTTTAGGTATCCTACACCTTCCAGAGCTGGATAATTTGTAAAACTAAGAGAAGTAAACAGAAATAAAATAGAAACAAGGGTGGTATAGCAATTAACAACACTCTGTGATGCTGCATCCACCTGGGAACGTCCCAGGTTTCTATCCCAAGACCTCCTATACACACCAGGGACATGCATGCCTGTGAGCCACAACTTCATGCTAAATGTGTGATCCACTGAAAGTACCTGTAACTCTACATCAAGAGTAATAATGCAAACACAATAGCCCAATAAGATTCCCACTGAAGTATAAGTAACAAAGAATAAAAGAACCAAGACTATTTTCTCTATATGTAACCAACTGATGCCAAGAAATGTGCAGAATATCAGAAAGTCACCTAAAAAGATTATACTGATGATTGGTAAAATCAATCCTTACAGTATGATTAAAAAAAAAAAAAAAAAAAATTCTGGGACCAACAGATGGCATAATGGTTACGTGGCTGGACTGTCACATGCCCAACTGTGATTCAAGTATCGGACCCAGAGGCTTGCAACTCATGCTGGGCGTGTGTGCATGTGTGGGAACAATTCCAAGAGGAGAAGGGAGGAGAAGGGATTGTGGTGTGACCATCCCCCTAAGAGGTTATTTCTCACTTTTTGTCTCTCTCTGTCTCTAGCAAAAATCTCCCAAAAACAAAACAAAAACTCTAATAGTAGTTCTAGAACCTTAGCTGTACATGAATCTGTTTCTAGAACATACTCTAAAACATAATTAGATATTATAATACATGAAACATGTGCCTGTATGCCCAAATCCTGAAAGGAAAAATGGAACAGAGGGATTGCAGTGTGGCAATCCCCCATGTGGGGATGCTTTCTCATTTTCTGTCTCTCTTCAGCAAGCATATGTGACCTCCATCAAGTAAATGAATGAATTAATGAATGAATAAATAAATAAAATTAAAGCTCGAAATATGCATACAAAATTCCTCTCCCTAACTCCTTAAAAAATAAAACAGTGGCCAGCAGGTGGCATGGTGGTTAAGGACGCTGGACTCCCATGTGGCTGACCATGGTTCAAGTCTCAGACCGGGCAGCTTGCTTTCTCATTTTCCCTATCTCTCTCTCTCACTCTGTCCCTCTTTGGTCAACTAAAAATAAATAAATAAGCAAAGTTAAATAAAATAATTTAAAAATAAACAAATAAAACAAACAAAAAACCCAGCTAAAGCCTTGGAACTTCAAAGCATACTATTTTTACCTAGTAGGTACTCTGATAAAAAAAATCATACTGCCATGGGAGATAGAAAAATAATAAAAATAATATTCAGAATGAGTGGTCCTACTACATGATAAAGAAATACAGATAATATACCATATTCCTAACCCTGGACTGTGAAGTAAAGATCAATGTATTCTTTCTTTTTCTTTTTTTTTTTGGAGAGGTTTTTGCCATAGGGCATGTGCACTGTCCAGAGAGAGACAGAGAGACAGAAAGTGAGGAATCACCCTCCCAGGGGGATGGCCATGCCACAATCCCTTCTCCCCCTTTCTCCTTTTGGGATCTTGGGCACGCACATGTGTCTAGTGTGAGTTTAAGCCTCGGTCCGGGACTCAAACCAGTCGACTACATGGGAGTCCAGTGACATAGCCTTTATGCCAACTGCTTGTCTTTTCTATAAAAACATACAAACTTAGAGGGCGGAGGGGCCCAGTGCCGG